TGGTGGTTACATGTTGAGGAGATGGATGATCTTACCATGGAGAGTGCATGGACCACTTTCCTGGAGAGCTCTGGCCTGAGGAACCGTTCACACCACAGCCTGTTCACTGTGCAGCAGATAGATGAGGATGAAGGTAGAGAAGAGAGATGGGAATGTGGGTGTGAAAGGAGGTGGGATCTAGAGTTTAGGAGAATCAAGGGAAGGGGGAAGATGGCGGTCTTGAATCAATGTTTGGCATAGACATTATAGAGAATGAGAAATGGCTCATAAGCATTCATTTCTCATGTTCTCCTTCCCTTTACCCTGCCTCCAAATGGACTTTGTGGCTTTATTTAAAATGGCAGAGCACATGAAGGCAGAGAGAATCTAGCTGGAATAAAATAACACCAGAGATTGTGCATCCCTAAGTACTATGTTTGTGCTCATCACTTGACTGTCTTTTATTTTTCATTACTTCACATTTGAACAGTGGCCCAGATTACAAGTGCTTTGGGCACCAGGATGAAAGATGATAAATAAAACATTGACACTTTAAGCTGTGGACTGAACTGATTAATTACCAGGACTACTGTGTTTTAGGTCTTTTGTAAATTAGGGGATGACTAGACAAAACTTCTCCTGTTTGACTGTTTGGATCTGATGGAAAATAACTTAGAACTGGTATAAGACTCATGCTTTATTAATGTGAATCACAGGCCTTCAAACCTACAATTGACAAAGGACCAAACTTTCAACCTGACATCATTTTGGATGTGAGAGTATCTGTCAGTACGTTTTGCCCTTATAATTTCATCAGCAAAAAATATTAATGCTTACTTCAAGGTTATTCATAGAATTACAATGCTGTGCACAATTAGTAATCTGTAGTCTTTAGCAGAAGAAAAAGAGATGACCAGTGGCTTTAGTCATTTCTCTAGATTTTACTAGTCATCTTTCAGACATTAAATGTGTCTTGGGGAAGACTAATGTAGGCTCTGTCTTGACTGTGCATCAGAAACACCGAAAGGGCTTATTAAAACACAGATTGCTGGGCCCCATCCCCAGAGTTTCTGATTCAGCAGATCTGGGGTGGACTCAAAAATTTGCTGTTCTAACAAGTTCCCAGGTGATGCTGATGCTGCTGTTCCGTGGACCACTCTTTGACAACCAGGGTTCCTGTGGGGAGTTTAAATTCAACTTCAGTCTGTGTTCATTTGGGGGATTATGTTGACGGAGGCATTGTATTTGCCTCTTTTCTGACTCAGTGTTTCTCTCCTCTGGGGTATGGGCAAGGGGGAGAAGGAATTTGCATTCATTCCAGTGACCTGGCTGCTCACTGCTGTCAGGCCCATGCACACATTGCCCTTTACTTCCCAGGCCAGCTTTGCCTGGTGACGTGCTGATGGGGCAGTGACCCTCCATCGCTCCCCCTTCTGCTTCCTCCCAAACTAGGAAGCAGCACATGGTTGCAGAAAGAAGCAGCCGTATTTGTAGTGTTGGCTCCTAACCCAGATCTTGCCTGCAGCCTGCAGGCCACCGCGGTCCCAGGGCGGTGGAGGTGTGAGGATGTGATGTGGATGCCGAGAGTCTTCGAGTGGCCAGGTGGTTGACTGGGGCTGGCTGCTGGGAGGGAGTCAGGAGACCGGGTTGTATTTCTAAGTGGACTTCAAACTCCTTGGGTGACCTTGGGCAAGCCCTCCTCATCCTTGACTTTCCCATTTTGACCACTTGTGTTTCTGGAACACACCTCTTTCCTTCCCAGCCTGAAAAATCGCAGAAAAACAGAAACTCTGATCTGGTGAGTGGCCTCCAGGGCATTTATGCCCTGCTGTGCAGAACTCTGAGTGCCTGAGGACAAAGCTGCTGTGTAAACACAATATATTATTAATAAAATGTTAAAAAATAGCATCACACCCTCTGCTAATAATAGCCGGTTTAGGCTGTGGGAGCAGCTTTGACACGCAAGCTCCCAGCAGTGTTGAAGGAAAGGTGACTATGGTTTTTTGAATTTGCAGCACATTTAAAAGAAGATGAAAACAGGGCTTTAAAACATTTTTGAGCATATTCACCGGTATATTTGTGAAGAAAATAGGATTATACTTTTCGTAAAATTCAACTTTAATAAACCAAACCATCAATTTCTTTTGATTTCCATTACACTTCAGAGTGGTTTTATAAGGTGGGCTATTCAGTAGGCATTTTGGCTAAAGTGTCAGGAGTGTCCTTCCCCTTCCCATCTGTATTGGTAAGTGGCTGATGCCCCTTAAACTCCATGGGGGAACACTTAGAAATTATTGAGTAATTACTTAATCAGCGACTCCGTCTACTCTCCAGATGCATATGGGGCACCTGCTGTGTGCTCCTGTAGATACCAAGATATAAAAATACGGTTCTTGCCCTTAAGGGACTTGTAGTGTAATTTTGCTTCAAGATATATAAGCAAGATAGTATGTAAGGAGAACATTGCATCCTTTATATTTGTCTCCTTAAGAAATGTAAACAGAGTTCAAATCCACTTTTTATGCATTATAGTGGTGTTTCTGCAGTGATCTGGAATAAAATGGGTTCCTGCAGCATCACTGTTACCTGTCAGCAAGAAGCTCAGACGTTTGTCTCCCCCCCGCCCCACCAAGGGTAGTATGGAGATGAAGACTCCCTGAGGATGTTGTAATAAACTGTCTGTAGAAGGTCTAGCACCCAAGTGATGCTTTCCCTACTTGTGCCTCACAGAGAGAAATTTTCTTACTGTGCTCAGTAAGAAAATACACTACACATCCCGTAGGGACCATTAGACCTCTTCCTTCCCCACTAGCTGCGATGACAACTCGCGCCTTGCCTTCTGTCCAGGGAGTTGTGACTTTCTACGCCACACTGGGAGCTCCCTAAGGGCAGGGCCCCTCCTTGGGTCTAGGTGCAGGACTCTCAACTCCAGTGTCTCTGGGAATTGCCTAGGAGCTTTGAAACAAATGCAGATGCTTGGGTTCACCCCCTCCCCCCGCCCCGAGATTCTGATACAGTTGAATTTGAGAGTTCCCTGGGTGATTGTCAAAAACACTCCCCAGGTGAGTGCAGTTTGCCCTTGGGTTGAGAAGCACTGAGCTGGCGGTTGACTTTGTCTGAAAGAGGGAATCAGAGAGAGTCTGTGGCAGATCCTCAGGAATTTTTTGAATGGAGAAAAGCTCAACTTACATTGGAGGACTATCCTGACTTTAGGCTCTTTTCCTGTAAATGGGACCCCCCCCCCCGCCACAGTGTACAGGTAGCAATGGTTATTTGAGGTGCTGGTCACAGTGGCCTAGAGCTTGCTTCCCTGTGGGCACAGTTGGGTCTCCGGGGCCAGTGCCTTGGGAGCATTGATCCCCCGATCCCCGGGGTTCTTCAGTTTTGCTCAACTATCTGGTCACCAAAGAGCCTCCAGTAGATGGACCTAGTTCCCTCACAATGCCCCTCCTGGCTTCAGCCCCTTTTGCCCCATAGCCCTGCCAGGACTGGGGTTACCAGCCCCAGGCTGAGGGCCTCATGTCAGCATTCTTCCCTCCTGCCACTGCATTAGTGAGTACTCACTGTCTGAATTATCTTTTCTCCTCCTTGAGTCTGTGTCCCCCGCCCCGCCGCCGGCCCCCAACCCAGGCTCATCCACCCACAGTGGATCACCCATTTTGGTGCATAGGGCCAGGTCCTCTTTTGCTCAAGTCTGTACCAAGATCCCCAGCCCATTCATTACTTTTCCTACAATCTCTATATTTTGTGTTATGCACTAATCTGCAATGATCCCTTCTTTCTGTCTGTTTTTGAAAGACTAAAACCTACAACTAGAGTGTGCATTAGAAGCCTACTGAGTGGGCTCCAAGAAGCCTTATTTACCCGCTTATTTCTGACTTTGAGGTTTGGGGGAGCATGTCTGTCCATGGGCTCATTAGAATTCTAACTAAGTAGGTGTTACTTCAATGTTACGTGGGCAATTTTCGGCTGTTCTGTTAATCCAGAGAAGGGAATCCAAGATAGACAGTGAAAAATGGTTTTATTTGATAGTTGAGAGGAAAGGGCTGAGGAGGCTGCCAAGTGATGGGGACATCAGGTTGGAATAGGAATGACTTAGAGCTAATTGTAGTTGTTCATTTTTCTCTATTTTTGTTTTCATTTGGTGTTTTGACTCCTGTATTACTATCATCATTTCCTCATGTTTACTTTCATTTTTCATCTTTGCTTCTCCTACAAATTGTTGCGTATGGTTTGCCAGAGAAAACTCCTACGTCCTGAGCTCCCCCAGACTTCCTAGCAGCCCCCACCCCACACCCCTGGCTGTGCATCATCTGGTTTTCCTCCCGCCACCTCCTGTGCTAATGTCTCAGTTGAACTCATTCTTCTTTCACTCCTCTCCTTTCTTTTTAAAGAATTGCTTCCTCTTGGCATAAACACTCTATCTTTTGTTGTTACCAAATCATTCTTCCTTCTTATCTGTGGGAAAATACAGTGGTGTCTATCACATCATATCAGAAAGAGACATCCAGAGTGGACTTTTCCTTTGTTTAGACCAACATTAATGGGTTATTTACTGATGCTCATTTCATCTTCAGGTAGAAAATTTTATTCCCATTTGACAGGTGAAGCTAAAAGAAGTTCAGTAGCTTGACCAAGATCAAGCATGTTAAATGGTAGAGCTTGGGGTGTTTCAGGCCAGAGCCTTCACTCTTTACTGTTAAACCCTGAACCCTCCAGCTGGAGGTGAACCAGCATATTGTGTTGCCAGGCCGAAGACATAGATTTAACATCCTTGAAATTCCTCCCATGCCAGCATTCATGGGATGCTCTGAGGTTATGTAGGATGGTGAGCCCTTTTCCCATGGGGTTGGTTTTGCTGATAAATTGGCCTGGGATCCTAGAGATGATGCAGTATCAATTCTCATGTTGGGCATGTGGCGAATTATGGTTGCGTACCAGTACCTTGGGTTGTATTATTGTGTAAATGAGCGGAGCGGACTTCTCCCAGTTAAGATTCTCAATGTTTTGTTTCTTTGCAGAGCCTGTGTCATCCTGGGGGTGATATTCCTTCTGTCATCTATATGTATAGTGGTCAAAGCCATCCATGACCTCTCAACTAGGCTGCTCCCAGAAGTGGTAAGGTCCTTCTTCCTTAACAGTTTTTCCTGGAGGTACTAGCCTCCTGTGTTACCTCTCATGAAGGATTTACTGGGGCAAGTCAGGTGGGTGGAGAGAGAATATACAGCATTTTAGGAGTCCAGAAGAGCTCACAGCAGAGTGTGAATGATTTGGCAGAGTGAAGCCCTGGGCAAGAGGAAAAAGCTTTACGTAGTTGAGATGGTACTAGGTTCTGGGTTCTGTGTCTCTCTCCTTAGATGTTTTGACTATTTTTAAAGCAAGATGTCTTTTATGTGAAAAGAAACGGGATGTTTTTATATAGCAGAGTGATCCAATCCGTGTTGTTTGCATCTGTTGTTCTTTGTCTACTGTAATAATAATTATTTTCCTCTTTTGCACCTTGCATAGATTCATTCACGTTGGATTTTTTTTTTTGGCAGAACTGACATTTGGATGCGGAAACTGGAGGACACAATTTCATATTAAAGTGTGTCTTTGACTCTTTGTTCTTTGGATGAGAGCTATTGCCTGCACTCTGATTCCTTTTTTCCCTCTTCTCTTAGGAGTGCTGGAGGAAAAAAAAAAGTGCTTTAATGTCTCCTATCAGGTCATCTTCATGGAAGGCAGCTGACTTACTTACCAAGAGATGGAGATGAAGCCATCATGATGATTCTCTATATACAAGTTGCATAGTGATTTAAGTGCGAAAAAATATGGGCTCTTCTCTTAGGATGTGATTTGATTTGAGTTTGGCTTACATGCGCCATCTTATACCAGGCCTCAATTCTTAGACCCTTCATTTCGCTTTTAGAAAAATATATGTTGATCCTTCCTGGGGTGAGGTATTGCATGTGTTCATGGGGAAGATTAAAATGAAGTGGGACTTGATACTGCGTTTACGAGAGGCACGGAAGTGGCTGCTTTAAATTGCTCTCCCCTTCCCCAACTGACACTGAGGTCCGAGCCCCTCCTCTAGTAACTCAGCAGGATCTTCGCTGTTTGTCATCACAGCTGGCCAGAAGCTTATTCTCTAATATCTCAGCGAAAGTGAGGAAAGATGGACACCCACCCACGGCTTTCAGTCTGAGTCAGAAGCGGAGCTGGCTGAGGGGGGAATAGTACTGTTTTACTACTCCGTGCTCTTTTTCCCACGATTGTGCCGCTTCACTCTCATCTCCTCGCTGTGATCTCACTCTGGCCTGGGATCCTGGACTTTGCCATCCTTTTCCTCCCTCAAACTTGCTAATCTATGTTCTATTCTGTCAGAACCTGAATCTTAGCATTAAGTATGATTAATTAAGATGTCAGTCAGATAACATCTTTGCGTTTTACAGGGGATGGAAATATGCCTCCACTCGAAGAAGTGTTTATCGGTGGGAATTTTCAGCACTAGGCTAGTTGACATGTTCATTCATTTAGGCATTAAAAATTAATTTGCAGCAGGGCTAATGTGACAAGGAATAGGCAGCTGCGCTCATGGGCCTTTGCAGGGGCCCTCCTTGTCTTTCTCTTGATAGTGGAACTGTTTTTACCTGGGGACAGTCCCACATCCTGTGGTGCAAATGCTCCTAAGGGAAGCGGCTCACCAACTGAAATGCCACACCAGGATAAAAATGTCCGATGCCCTGTCCCATGTGGGGTTCCGAGAGGGCAAAGAGCTCCGTGGTTTTACCCCAGACAGGCCCTGTCCTTGGAGAACTCACACCCACTGCATCTTTTATCAGCCCTGGTGTGGGATTTAAGAATCAGAGCCATTTATGGTGATCTCCTCAGAACTCTGAAGAAAAGAATAAGGTGGTTTTATTGTTTTGTTTTCAGTCTTCAGCATCATGGCAAGATAACAAAGGCACGCGAGCTCCTGTCTCCAGATAGAAGGCCTTCTGATCAGCTGAGTGGCACACAGGGGCCCGGTAAAGGCTGCCAAATGGTAGCCGACAGTGTTTCCATCCCCAGTCTTTGGCTTCCCACTCTCTGCTCTAGACGTTCGGGGAAGGCCACAGTCCATAGCCAGACCCCCGATCCCTGGCCTGCGGTCCCTCAGCACCAGCGTTTGTCCACATCTAAATCAGGATGTAATTTAGATCAGATGTAATCAGCTGCTCACAGAAGCCAGTCCACAAAGCAGGAGAAGCTCAAGTGCAACCAGTTGTCTGTGGCAAGCGTGTGCCTGGGGGAAAGGCCTGCCCTCTAGTGGTGCCAGGCACACTTGCTGTGCAGGGCTGTGGACCCAGGGCTGTCAAATCTTCCAAGTTTTCAAGAGAGAGTGGAAGCCCCTGTTTAGTGTGAAATAAATTGGCAACTCATTAAACATTTTTGAAAACCCTGGTTGGGAGTGGGTGGGCAATTTTGTGTAGGTCAAATAAAGTATGCCTGTGGCAGTTGGAACCTGGGAGACTGGTCTTCAGGGCCATGATGGCATGATTTTAGGTCCGAGTTACAGCCTTGCCCTTGCCCTCAACTACGGAACTGCCTTTTTTTCCCCCCCATAATTCCAGTGTAGTTATCATATCTTGTTATATTAGTTTCAGATGTACAATGTAGTGATTCAACAACTTCATACAACACCCAGTGCTCATCACAGCAAATGCACTCCTTAATCCCCATCCCCTATTTCACCCATCCCCCCACCCACCGCCCCTCTGGTGACCGTGTTTGTTCTCTAGAGTTAAGAGTCTGTTTCTTGCTTTGTCTCTTTCTTTTCCTTTGTCCATTTGTTTTGTTTCTTAAATTCCACACGAATGAAATCATATGGTATTTGTCTTTCTCTGACTGACTTATTTCGCTTTGTGTTATATTGTTTACCTCCATCCGTGTTGTTGCAAATGGCAAGATTTCATTATTTTTTTATGGCTGAGTAATATCCCATTATATAGGGGCACCTGGGTGGCTCAGCCGTGAAGCGTCTGCCTTCGGCTCAGGTCATGATCCCAGGGTCCTGGGATCGAGCCCCGCATCGGGCTCCCTGCTCCGCGGGAAGCCTGCTTCTCCC